TCATGTATCGTGATATGTATCGCATCGTGGCATCTGTACCGTGATATGTATCGTATCGTGACATTGCTGGTGATACACAGCCCTAATATATATATATATATCAACACAGCGCCACCGGCGGTAGTTGGTCCATTACCACCGCGGTGGTAAAAATCTGCCACCGTCACAGCCCTAACTGACACAAAGTTCCAATTATATGCAATGGTCGCTTTGTCACATCCAGTGTAGACAGACTTTGGGGCCGTTCACATGTCGTGCCTAAAAACGTGTGGAAAACGCCAGTTGCTCCGCTTTCTCCTTCTTTCCAAGTGCTCGGGAGCTTACGCTTTCGTTGTGTCTGCCGTTGCTAAGCAACCGTGACCTGCGCTCTCCACAACGATGCGGAAGAATAAATGGATTTCCAGCATTGAAAATCGCGTGCAGTAGCTACTAAATATATTTAAAATGGGTATCTCTGTTCAGCTGTCGCGTCCGGTGTAGACACCGTGTCTGTGTGTGAGCAAAGAAAACAATCAGTATAAGTATAACGATCAGTAGCCTATACTAAACATCGCACATCCTGCGATGCTACTATCGTGGATACGCACATCACGATATCGATGCTGAAACGATATATCGTGCAGCCCTACCAACTATCTAATATATTGGAGTTTATGTAAAACAGATCAAAGGGAAGCTGCAAGAATAGCCCAAAAAATGCTTTAGGAACCAAACCCATTTTCTAAACCTATGACAGAGAAATTAGCCAGTTGTTTGTGATAAATTTAGAAATGAAAGAATCAGCAAATGGATCCCAAATTAAAAGTCCACCAGAGGGTAAAACATTATTTCATCTTACTCACAATTAATGACTCCATTATAATTAGTCATGCTCTGCATATTTTACAATCTGGATTTATATTTAACATTTCCACAAACCAAACTATGACAAAAACCACCCATCTGCTCTCAGCAGTGGAACGAGAGCCCAGACTTCCACAGTAAAAATACCCTTGACAGACGTCCCACTGGTTAGAAACAGTTGCTATGCTGATTGGATCGTTTCTAGGTGGTGGAGTGTAAAAAAGCCAATGAACAAACAAAGAAATCTGTCCTCTACATTGACAAAAGTGTCTCAGCTCAATCGAAGTTGTTTTTTTGTTTGTTTGTTTTTTGAAGATCCTTTCCTGCAGCAGGGTAAGAATGTGGCTAGTGCAACAAAAGTTACAGTCAGCTTTTCAGTTCTCCATGGGATACCGTTGGTGGTCACACACAACTCTACACAAATACACACACAAAAACTGCAGCTGATGGGCTTCTTTTAAAGGCGACTGCTAAACATACAAGAACAAGTCAGCTTTCTAAAAAGGCAAACACACACAAGAGCTCACACCTGCTTTCCAGGTGGATATCAGATTCTGGTTATTTTTCATGCACACTTTGTCCAGATGTTCCTCTGGTGCCTCCCTTCTCAACTTCTCATGTTTGATTTCACATGACACTGAATCACTGAGAGAAACAGCAAATGACACAACCAACCGAATGAATCTGATAACAATCAACAGCTTCATGTGATCTGACACTATCTGACAAAAACGCGCACACATCATTCAGTTCACCTTCAGTACTATAAAAGGGCAATCAGCCTCTATTGGAACTAGGGCTGGGCGATATGACGATATTATCGTATTATCGAGTTTTGGCAGCCCAACACTGAATATTATATTGTGGTCGTTGTATTTTGATTAATAAAATAAACATTTTAAAAATTACAACACAAAAATTAAATGTAAATTACCCTGCTTCTAAATAAAGCAGTTATTTTTATTTAATTAAAAACGGGCCAAAAGAGACCTCCGAACTAGTAGGCTACCAGAAAGAAAAAAAAACCCTTATCGTTTTTGCTCAGAATTCATTTTTAATCCCTGCATGATTTTAGTCATGCATGATAAATATCAAATGCGCGATAGCTTGACTACAAGTTTAAAAACAACGCTGCAATTGTTATAATTAAGGAAATTAAACTTATCATGAAATGTGTCTACACAGGCGATAATGCCAAAAAGAAAGAAACATCGGAAAATAGGCATATTTTATTCAAGGAATTATTACATGACATCAACATGCATTTATCATTCTTACAATCACTGCCAGAATGTCCAACTTCACCATGATGAACTTAAAATTGGGTTCTATTATTTTTCCTCAACAGTTCTCCTCACAAAACGAAATTCATTTCAAACACAAATTTGATAAGAACATAGTAGAAATTATTAGCTACACCAAAATAACATTTAAAATAACCATTTGTAATTGGATTGACGGCTCAATCGGACTGAAAAACCTTCATGTAAACACCTTAATCAATCCGATTGAGCTCTTCCGAATTATTACATGACATCAACATGCATTTATCATTCTTACAATCACTGCCAGAATGTCCAACTTCACCATGATGAACTTAAAATTGGGTTCTATTATTTTTCCTCAACAGTTCTCCTCACAAAACGAAATTCATTTCTAACACAAATTTGATAAGAACGGAGTGGAAATTATTAGCAACACCAAAATAACAGCAAAGCTAATGTTTTCTGTTAGTTTAAGCACAAACTAAGAAAAGTAAAACCAAACTTTGTGGCAATAATTAAGACCAAACTGAACATGGTGTGTGATTATGGTGCATGTCGGCAATGTTGTCTTGGCGGGGCCAGCCATGGTGGAGGTGGGGCTTAGGTAGACGATATTATCAGATATCGCAATATTTTTAAAGGCGATTATCGATAAGATATTTTTGACATATCGCCCAGCCCTAATTGGGACAGACGTGTTGGACATTGTTACGTTAGAATTCAAGCAATCAAAGAGCATCTAAGGGAGCTTGTGTAACTTCATTCTCTATAAAGGCTTCTCAATCCAAACCAATCACTCTGTGGAAAAAATGGTGAACTGATTTCTAAGTTTAGTGGTAAGGGATGCCAAAGATTTAACTTTTTTTTAGCAACTGCCCAAGCAAAATTTCAAGGGATTGAGGCGATATATGATTGTGTCTTCATATCCCATTTTATGGTTTTATACAAGATGCAAAACACTTCAAAATTCTCAAACAGGGTTGCCCAAACCTGTTCCTGGAGGGCCACTGCCCTGCAGTGTTTAGCTCCAACCCTAATTAAACACACCTGAACCAGCTATTCAAGGTCTTCAGACTGACTAGAAACTTCCAGGCAAGTGAGCTGGAGCTGAATGAAGCTAAACTCTGCAGGACGCTGGCCCTCCAGGAGCAGGATTGGACCCCTCTGGTCTCAAAAATGTGACCCAACTGAACCGTACAGCATGGAGCAAATATATTTGTGGCTTGTTTGACTGTCCGGTGCTCCCAACTAAACAGCCCTATTTGTGACCCATTTAAATTCAACACACTTCTTTGAAGCACTATGGGAAGTGAAACATTTTTTTAGTACAAGTATACTAGAGATGTGCAAAACGACCTTTTCATAATCGACTAGTCAGTAGGTTATCTTAAAAACTAGTGGGTCCTGTATAATAAAGCTGTGCTACGTCCACCAGTCCCTTCAATAGGGTGACTAACAGGTATTCAACTATATGACTGTAAATATTTGTTGCACACAGAATCACAACTATGCACAAAAGTATTCACTACAGTGTGGCACAAAACTATGGTGCTAAAACACTCTTCCAAGAAGTTGTGACTGAGATTTTTTTTTCTGTTTAAATGCACTACACGGTTGGGGGGGTCTAATTGAGATGAGTGATTTAAATTGAGTGATTTAAAATAATAAATAAATAGGGCTGCACAATTTGACTACAATAATAATAAATTATGATTATTACCAAAAATTTTAACAAAACAAGTATTACTATTGTACCAAATAAATATATTAAACAAAACAAGAAAAAATACTTTTGTAATACTTTACTGTGAAATAAAAAGTATTCAAGAAAAACAACGTAATAATAATAATAATAATCAATTGTATACAACACAATTGTGTCTGTGAATTTTTTTGAAGTATTTTTAAGTTAAACCATTAAGCTTTTATTTTGACAGAAACCATTCCCAAAATGCATGTTATAAGCATCCCAATTTAACATGAAGCACATGCAGAGATGAATTTGTGTGAACCAGCAATTACTATGAATCCAACCATTCTGAGACACTGAAAATACCAGATTATGAGCTGCTCAAGTGAAAAAGAACATAGTGCCGCTAGGCATGGGCCGGTATGAGATTTTGACGGTATGATAACCTTAAGCAAAAATATCACGGTTTCACGGTATTGTTGTTACAGCTCTAAAATGTGTTAATTTGAAATGTCTGGGTAAAAAAAAAAAAAAAAACTGAACACAATATATTTTGAGCAACATACAGAATATTTGGAACAGTAGTATTTGTTTATTTTTTCTTTGATTTGTTTCTGAAATGTGGGCTGTCCTGCAGCTTTTGGATGTGGATGGTTGATTTGCTGCTAGAGCTATGCTGTCCTAAAAAGAAGAAAAATAAAGACTGACATCTTTTTTTTAAACAGTTATTTAATTTTAGTTATATAATTCATATACGTATCATTTCATATCATTTATTTATGAACGATTTCTTCGATTTTAGAATCGCGCAATAGAATCGTCTGCGATTTTTTTGCTTAACTTGTCAGTGAACTACGGCTATGTGTAGTAAATTCTGCTCCATCTGAAAGCACGTGATGATGAAACAGCACGCGAGTGCAGAAGTGAGTTCTATTTCGTCTTCTTGCAATTGAATCTTTTGAAATCACAATAAATGCTCATACAAAAATCGAGAAGCTGAATCGAAAAGTAATTTTATAACAAGTAATTTGATTCCTGATCTTACGCATCTGATCTGATTTCCGAAATTGGAATAGCTTTTCGATTCCAAACCCTCCTACTAAATTATTTAATTCTTGCATGCAAAAAGACCTGGTGACTATGGGGCTATGTAAAATATTTTTTGCAACTTACTAGGTTTATCATTTGTCATTTTTTTCCCACTTCACTGCTGCAAGCTCTCCAGTAGAGATGTTACGAGCCTGCAGAATACAAACACAAGGAGGGAAGAGTGATTTAAAAAGGAGAGAGCGAGAATAGTTTCCGATCAAAACACTGGAATGTGAGCGTGTAAGCGAGAGCCATGTCTCTGATGGAAACAGTCTCATCGTTTCCAAATGGAAGTAGGTCGACAGCCATCAAAACACTTAAGCACACACGGAAAAGAGACTTTTGGGCTGTCCTGGGTGAAATGTCTATTTATTATCTATTTTAGACAACTAGTTTTAGGGTTTGCACACTTTATAGCTAGTGAATTTTCTTACCATTTCTATGAATGTTTTATGATTACTGGATATAGATTTTTATGAACGTTATAGAGACTCACAAAGAGAAATTTCAAATTCACCATACAAATATAAAATGACATTTATAAGATTTTTTTCTAGAAATCACCATTTTCAAAATCCCCAGACAGGATTTCTGTGACCTTGTGAATTCTGTAGCTTGCCATATAACCTTCAGGTGTGATTTAGCAGTTCATAAAAGGTGTTTATCTTAGGACTGAGCCATATAAACAGGAAAAATATGACTGTGTGTGTGTGTATGTTTGAGACAACAAGAGTAACAAGACACATTCACATCTGAGGGAGAAAAGCAAGTGTTTGGGAGGAAGTTACATGTGGCCTGAGCCTCAGTGAGGAAAAACACAGCCCACCACACGTAACACCAATTCCTGTCTATGCTGTCCATCGTTAACACACAACAAAGTGTATCAGTATGACTGCTTTGTACGTTTTTCAAGATTCTTTGATGAATAAAGTTAAAAAGAACAGCATTTTTTAAAAATAAAAATATTTTCTAATAATACTTTATCAATTTAACACATCCTTGCTGAATAAAAGCAACAATTTCTTAAAAAAAAAATTACTGACCCCAAACTTTTGAACGGTAGTGTATATTGTAACAAAAGATTATATTTTGAATAAATGCTGTTCTTTTTAACTTTTTAATCATCAAAGAATCCTGAAAAAATTATCACAGGTTCCAAAAAATTATTAAGCAGCAAAACTGTTTCCAATATTGGAATATTAGAATGATTTCTGAAGGATCACGTGACACTGAAGACTGGAGTAATGATGCTGATTTTGCATCACAGAAATAAATTATATTTTAAAGTACATTAAAATAAAAAAACATTATTTTAAATTGCAATAATATTTCACAATATTACTTTTTTTTCGATCAAATAAATGCAGCCTTGATGACCAGAAGAGACTTCTTTAAAACACATTACATTATGTTACAGCAGTTTATATATATATATATATATATATATATCCATTACCATGTTACTGTCTGCGCTAAAGGAGATATATAATAGAGTTGTCTCATGACTCCATGGTATAATGCATCCAGTACCTTATACACATCTCCATAGGTCCCGCTGCCAACTCTCTGGATCAGCTCAAAGTCATGCTGTGGGTTTCTGCGCTGAATCTCCCCTCCGGACCGGCCCAGCAGATCCATGCTGTCGGACTGGAGGATTTACAATTTTAATGACCCAGATTCAGTTTTACAACAGACCTGCAGTCCACATCCCCCTGAAAAATAACAGAAACCAGAACATAATGTGATTAATAACAGCACACCTAAGCTTAGACAGACAGACAAACAGTTAGATAGACAGACAGACAGACAGACAGTTAGATAGACAGACATACAGACAGACAGTTAGATAGACAGACAGATAGATAGATAGATAAAGCCTTTTTTATAAAGACTTTTTCAACAAACACATCTGTTAGCACACTATACCTGCTTTAAATAATGTAATTGGTGCAGATGTTTCTACATTTCAAAAGTATTTATTTTTTAAATACAATATAGGAGATTTTAAGCTGTACATTCAGTTATTTGGACACATGTCAAAATTATTGACGGGTGTCAGGAAGTGTTAACAGTCCAAAACAGGTGGTTTGTTTTTAATAGTTTCCCCCTCATTGTAAGAAAGAGAGTTACATTTTTTTTTTTAATGTTTTCATAATTAAAGTTCATTTTCTGTCTGAATCTCCGTGTGTAGAGCTAACTCAGCTAACTTCTGCTAACTAATCTCACAAAATCACTTCAGTTTTAAACTTCATTTTTAAAGACAAAATATAAACATACAAAGATGTTCATAAAGCATAATCCAGTTTTTACAGATATATAGTTGCATTTAGCTGGTGAGTGTTTTAAGTGCCTTTCGCTCTAGTTGATCAGCCGAAGCTAATGCTAATGCTATCAACAGCGTCAAACTACAACACAAAATAAATCACTTAAATTCAGAAACTATGATTTAAATTTCACCATTTGTGCGATTAATCTTAGTCCTCGGAACTCATGAAGATTTCAAGTTTTCCTAAATGCCGAAGTTCACTTTGCGTCGAAATAACCATCCAAACAGGAACAGAGAGAAGCGCAAACTAACTTCAACTAAAGACAGTTCACCAGACCTCTCGCTCTCTCGCTCTCTCTCTCTCTCTCTCTCTCCCCCCCCCCCCCACACACTAATATATAAAAGCAAACACAATGTTAAAGCATTACACATCTCTTTCACTTTAATTCTCTCGCTGAATTTCACTGTGCATTATGTGACAAAGTAGTATCTGTTAGTCACAGTCAACAGTTATAGTGAAAAATAAATAATTAAAACTACAATATATAAAATAATTAACTGGTGTTATTTATTTTCGGTGTTTTCATGTGTAAGATGTGTATATCTTTTCCTTTCTTTTTCTTGGTTTAAATGGTAAATCTAAACTTTCTATTGCTTATGCTTATAGTGCATGAAAACTGAACAAACCAGTCAAAACTGTGTTTTTCAGTAAAACGAGTAGTGATCATTCTTTAACTCGTCTTTATTTATCTTTTTTCTTTTTTCTTTTCTTTTTATATAGCGTAAATGCAGCGCCATCTGACGGATACACTCAGACCCACATGCAAAAATCACGTACCACGTGATTATGTTTAACTTCAGCAGAGGTCTGGATAATGATTTAATCCTAAATAATGCCACTGAGAACAACAAAAACACTGAATTGAAATAATACAATAAAAAGTTAAAATATGAGAACTATATATTAGACCAACCGTACCTGACCAATTAGAAACAATAACGCCAAGGTCTCTAAGCCCCGCCCATTACTATGGTTATTACATTATAGTCTATCGATGTTTACCACCCGACCGTCCCACAGCGCCACTAAGCGATCTAATGGTGCGCTACACACTCGTTTTCAGATGAGAATGAGCCTCCATCACTGGCTGCTGTTTTCCAGCGTCGCATTCGTCTCATGATCGCTGTTTAGAACCGACCCGACCCGAATACTGAACAAAACACCCAGTGCGACATGGCACGAGACAAAAAGGACAGAGACAGCTGGGGTACGTTCACATTTAATATAATAAACCATCCAGACGCGAGACACACTACGAGACGGGTTATTGTGCTATTCTGTAAATTATGAGGATGCTGTTACATAGACACTCTGTCTTTATGTTAAGGAACGCACACAAATAAACACAAACAAAAACAATGCTTTTTCCCTGCCCAAATCAGCTGATTTGGTCCGGACCACAACCCTGTTCAGCCCTGTATCTGTGCGTGTGTCTGTGATGACAGCTATTTTACCGCTGTAATGTCTATATTTAAAAGCAATGTGACATTTGCGCTATTGCAGGCCTAATGTCTGTGGAAACACAAATTGGTGCTCGTTTGTAAAATGCACCCACCCATTTCTTACAAATCCCAGTCAATAATATGCTTTATTTTTTAAATAATACATCTTTGTGTTATTGAGACTGATGTTTCAGTTGAATTTACTAGATAACACGTCAGTTTTTCCTCATTGCAGCGGTTAAAATCAGAAGTGATCTGACTGTGTGTGAAGTGATGTGCATTGATGACAGTGACCCACATAAGCAGAGCTCTGTACATCTGCTACAGGCCTACATGGAGATGCTGGTTTATATAATATATATGGTAGCCATATGAATGTCTGCTGCTCTTAACAGGCCTGACCAGGTGAATATGACATGAGAGATAGAGAGCTCTACAAGGTAATTTGAATGTAAATCATTTACAGTGTTGGGACAGTAATGGTGTTGCTTTGGTGCTAACCAATGGCAGAAGTGTAAATGCAATGCTGTGAACAGCTTCATCACATCCTTATAATTTGAATTAGCCCTGGTTGAAAATATCTAATGTTAGAAATGTTCTAATTCCCCTGTCAATATCCATTACTGTTCAGTTGCATTTAAGAAATGCTTGACAAATGCATCAGTTTGAGGGCAGATCCTCCAGAGCAACCTGGTGTTTTACTAGTTCACATACTTATATAATGCTTAAAAACACATTAACCATTAGGGTACTAGGCTAGCTGGCATATTGCTTGACCTATTAGGTCTGAGATGTACTTCAGGACCTCTAAACCATTAAAACATCTCTATGAGCCACATCACACTAGCCTTTATGACAGAGGTTAAGATCATAACTAAAGCTCCATTAGGGTTGTCTGCTGCATTAAGCCTTACTAAAACGTGACTCCACAATTTCTCCCAGGAGAATGTTAGATTGAGAAAAGAGAGATTTCATCTTGAGTCTTTGCAACTAAAATATTCTTCCATAACATTTGTCTTATGATCACTTGTCTCTGATGTGGATTTAGGCCTCATTTGATATCAAATAGATGATTATCTTAAGCATAATGTGGCATTAATGTTTCACTAATTCACAAAAAAACAAAATGTAGTTTCCCACACACACCCAACCAGAGTTATTATTGTAACTATTAAAAACATTTTTGTTTGTAAAAAAGTTGAAGTTTTATATATATATATATATATACACAAAAAAATAAAAAAATAAAAACTGGAATTTGAGAAAAAATGGAAATAAATTAAAACTAAACTGAAATAAAAATGAATGAATAATAATAATAAAATGACAAAGACATATCAAAATGACCAAAAATGTAATTATTACAATAAAACAAAAAAATATAAAAATAAAAGCAAATTCAAATATTAATATAAAATATTATATATAAAAAATACAAAAATAACACTGGATGACAGTGTACTAACAAACAGAATGTCACTTTTTTTGGTAACGTGATATTGAGGTATCAACTCATACATTATGATCCATATAGAGCACTGCAGCTTTAAGAACAGAAATAACATTTAAATGTGGTTGTATTCAGGGTCTTTCGTGGATAAGAACATGTATGACTGGAGCTCAGAGGAGGAGGAGACGGACGGACGGGCGCGTCCGGTGCAGGTGTTGGTGGTGAAAGATGACCACACGTTTGAGCTGGACGAGGCTGCGCTCAGTAAGATCCTGCTGGCTGAAGAGGTCAGAGACAGAGAGGTGGTGGCCATCTCAGTGGCAGGAGCCTTCCGCAAGGGCAAATCCTTCCTCATGGACTTCATGCTGCGTTACATGTACAGCCAGGTGAGATTGGCTATAATTCATAAAGTAGAAATACATGTATTATTGCTCTCAGACTAGTTCCAAATCACAATCAGTTTCTTGTTTTAAGTTTGTGTATTCTGTAATATGCGTGTTTGCATTCAGGCCAGTGATACGTGGCTGGGGGACCCGGACGAGCCGCTGACGGGATTCTCATGGAGAGGAGGGTCAGAGCGGGAGACCACTGGCATTCAGATCTGGAGTGAAGTCTTCCTGGTGGACAAACCAGATGGTAGCAAGGTAAGATATTTTTATGTTTTTGGAAAGATGCTTACCAAGGCTGCATTTATTTAATCAAAAATATGATAAAAACAGTAATACTGTGAAATATTATTACAATTAAAAATAACTGTCCTATTTTAATATATTTTAAAATGTGATGGTAGTATATACTCCTTTTCGTGGCTTGAGTGAAAGTATAATCTAACATATTTCTGTAAGGTAGAGCCTGTAACTCAGCCCTGTATGTGAAAATGAAACAAAGCTCCACTAAACATGAGAGGAAATTTCACGTGTAGTAGAAATGCATTACGCAGTTTTTCCTGTAGGTGGCAGTGCTGCTAATGGATACACAGGGGACCTTTGACAGCCAGTCCACTCTCCGTGACTCAGCTACTGTATTTGCCCTCAGTACCATGATCAGCTCTATGCAGGTAGTACACAGAAACAAAATCCCTCCTAATAAACTGTGACCATATTTTCAGTGAAACTGAATGGGACCTTGATGTCATCTTTTTTTTTAAGGTGTATAACATATCTCAGAATGTTCAGGAAGATGATCTTCAGCATCTGCAGGTATAGTGACACTCATTTTACCACCCGCAATGCTGTTGAACTATAGTAGTTATCATACTTTTTAATGAGAGTTTAATGAGATTCAATACTATTAAAAATGTATTTATAAAGCACTATAGAAATAGAGTGTACCAAAAAGTGCTGTGTAATTACAAAAAGAAAATATAAACAAATAAAACATTAAAAATACATAAAATATTTATAGTGATTCCAAGTTTATGCATGAAATTAGATAAACCTGACAAGCTTGTAAGCCATAATTTTTTGAATGTTAAACAGAAAAGCCACCGGTGTGAAATGAATAAAAATCTGTGCTTTTGTTTTTGTTATAGCTTTTCACTGAATACGGCAGACTGGCCATGGAAGAAACATTCCTCAAACCATTTCAGGTATTTGCTGTATTTTAACACTTCTGATGACCTCTATTAATTTAAAAAATCAGTTTGCTTCTTGTAGTTTCATTCTGAAACAGACTGTTCTTCATTAAAACTGTCATTATGAAATGCTTTTTCATTACATTACTATAAATGACCATCTCTACTCAGCTGGTGTGTGTTATTTCACTAGTCAATGATCTTTCTGGTGCGGGACTGGAGCTTTCCATATGAGTTTCCCTATGGACAGGAAGGAGGAATGAAATTTCTGGAGAAAAGATTAAAGGTCAGTAGGTTAATATAAGGAAAAATGGAAGGGCTAACATGAAAATCCTGAGCTCATTCAAATAGAACCACCACAATGTGTGTTTATGTGTAGATCTCAGAGAATCAACATGAGGAGCTGCAGAACGTGAGGAAACACATCCATTCCTGCTTCACCAACATCTCCTGCTTCCTCATGCCTCACCCGGGACTCAAGGTGGCCACAAACCCACACTTTGACGGCAGATTGAAGGGTATGTTGACAGATGTACGCTAATCAGTAGATTGTAGCTGAGCTCAAATATGTGGAAGCCATGTTGGCATCCTTAGACTGTGAAGTACAAAAACAGTGTACAAAGTCACCTGTTTCCAATCATGTGTTTCAGAGATCGATCAAGAGTTTATCAATAATCTACAAGTGCTTGTTCTGTGGTTACTACACCCCAAAAACCTGGACGTAAAAGAGATAAACGGAAGCAAAATCACCTGCCGGGGTCTTCTGGAGTACTTCAAGGTAAGTTTTGTTTGAGGTAAAAGCACTACTACTAGGAATA